CTGGCCCTCCGCCCTGAGGCCTGGGACACGCTGGGGCCCCGTGCCGCTGGCCCTCCGCCCTGAGGCCTGGGTCTCCAAAGGGCGCTCTCACCAGGAGACACAGCAAGACATGCCAAATGCGAACTACGGCTGCACCAGGCACTCTGGGCTCATGTCCCGGGGCCCCAGGGACCAAGAGGAGGCCCCTCACGTAGAAGGAACTGAGCCCGGCTGCAGGAGGTAGGGCCACAGTCCACAGGGCTGGGGGAACGCATGTGGGATGGGGTGCGCTCGCCCCATGACTACACATGGATCAGGGTTCAGGCCCTTGGTGCCAAGTCTGGGTCACAATGCCAGGTAAGTCACTGGGGCCAGAAGACGTGGCAGTTGAGTGTGAGGGGACCCGAGAAGGTCAGCAGAAGACAGATAAGAGAGGCCACTGGGACCCCGAAGAGCCACTGCACGTAAGCATGGTGGCCCAGGCTGCTGACAGAGTGCCTGCAGGTGGCCCTACTCTCAGCTCTCCAGGATCTGCAAAGGGCGAGCCTGCCAGGCCCCACCTTCCTGGGCCTGCACCGAAGTGTGACTTCTTCCTTTGTCCACACCTGCGTCTTCTCCGCTGTATTCCCAGGGGTCGAACCCCAGTAAACATCCCACACCCCAGACTTGGTGTCTGCTCGAGAACCCAGCCTGTGACAAGGAACCACATCCCATGTGGCTCGTTCTACTCCCCGTGTGCGTCTGGTCGGACAGGGAGAGCCCTGGGCTCGGCCCAGCCTCTGATCACGCCAAGAGCTTCTGGCCAGCAAGACAGAGCCGTTCTCTCAGCCAAGGCCAGGCAGGAGGGACACTTTGCTGGGTGCCTGCTGCTGATGTCAGAAACCAGGACGTGGCACTTGGTCTCACACAGAGGCGACTGGCAGGTGTCAAGGCGGGCATCTCTACGTCCTGCCCCATGCCAATCTGAGCGGAGGGGCGCTCTGTGGGAGGGGCTGGTCTCTCTGCTCACTGCTGGCACAGGGCTGAGCTGAAGACTGACTGTACCCCACGTGGGTTGTCCTGGGGCATAGGGGCAGATGAGCCCCATGCTGAGGCCTCAAAAATACCCAAAACCCATATCAAAACACGAGGTGTTGCTGTCCATCTGTGAGGAAGCCGTCCCCTGGTGGGAAGAGGCCACCAGCTAAGCACCGCACAGGCTCTGCAACTTCCCCACACTTGGCTCTCAGCTGTCACTTGTCCGTATCCCACGGTCATTGGCAACAAAATTTTTAAGCCGAGAGGAACCAAGGGCTCCCTTGCCTTTGGGGTAGCAACTAGAGAGCCTGCAGTAGGATTGGGGAGAGAAGCCTCAGGAACAAAGTGGATGAAGCAGCTGCTGATGGAAAGGAAAGAGACTGAGGCAGGTCCTGGGGTGGAGAACAAGGGGCACTGTCTGGAGAGGAAAGGGGTGGAGGCAGGTAGTGTCTGGCTGAGTGGGGTGGCGGGCCCAAGCTTTCTACAGATACACAAACAGACATGCACACACGTTCCCATGACACCTTACCTTGTCCCATAGCGACTGCAGCTCCTCCTGCCCCCCGAGGTCCCAGAACATGAGGCGTGCTTTGCCCACGTCCACGGTGCCAACTGGGGAGGGAGAGCACAAGGCTGTGACCTTGCTCCTCAAAGTATCCCACCTCCCCCATGCTTGTGTTTGAGAAGAGCAGGCCGCTCAGAGGCGCGGGAGAGGCGCCGCAGCTGGCCCTCTGGGATGGACTCCACAGTGTCCCAGGGCCCAGTACCCAACACCTGCGGACCAAAGTGCCCACTTACTGTTCAGGCCCACGGTGGTGGTGATCTTGGACAGGCTCATCCCTTTGTAATGCTTGTTAAACCGGGTTTTCGACTGCTCCAGGAAGGTCTGAGGAGGAAAGACGCCATAAGCCCGTGGGCACAGCAGTTTTCCAAGTCCACCTCCCAAACGTCTCTTCTTGGGCCCACTCCACAGAAGGCAGATCAACGTTCTACGGAGAGGAACTGGGGGTGACCTTCCTGTGGTCTTAGAAGGGGTTCAGAGTCTGTCTGGACGGTCAGTGTGCAGCTGAAGGCATAAAACCAAAAGAAGGGCCCCAGTACGCACCGTCTTTCCGGCATTGTCCAGGCCCAGGATCAAGATGCAGTACTCATCCTTCTGGAACACGTACTTGTACAGGCCTGACAGCAGCGTGTACATCCTGCCCTGGGACACCCGACATCCGTCAGGGGGCAGCCTGACCCGCACCTCACCACCCACCAGCTTCCCCAGCTGGGACACCGCACCCCATCCGTGGTCCGTCCTGCTGGCTGCTCAGACCAGGAGCCCGGGGGCCATTCCTGACCCCCACGGGTCACCTCTTCAGCAAAGCTCTGACACTGCCTGCACTTCTCCCACACGGGCTGGCTCTCTGCATCTCCACGGCCACCACCTCACGGCGTTCCTCACTCCCAGCCCCGCTCTCTCCAGATCATTCTGCCCTTCCCCGGTTCGCCCTCCCCACACCTAGGACCCTGCCAGGTGTGCGCACAAGCACGCACCCGCCCCTGCGTCCTCACCTCCTGCCCCGCCCTGCGCACTGAGCCCCCAAGCCACCCGTCCAGGCTCCGCTCAAGCGCAGCTTTCTCCCACAGCGGACACCGGAACATGCTCGCTCCAACTCAGCCTGGGCAACCGAATGCTCTTTAAAATTCGGTTGTGCGAGGCGCAGGCCTGCTCGCCCACCTCAGAGCCAACACTCGCCAGGAGCCACCGAAGGCTACGACCACGGGACACCCGTTCTCTGGAGACAGGCTACAGGGGCGGGGCTGCAGCGGCCCCTGGGGTCGACCTCGCGGTCCGACACACCCGGAGGTGGCGGTGGCCGCGAAAGGCCGGGCCGGGCGGCCGCGGCGGAGGTTCCCGGAGCCCAAAGGGCCCGCCGCCCGCCCGGACCCCGAGTTCCGAGCCCGC